GAATGAAAGAAAGAAAAAGAAAACAAAACAAACAAACAAAAAAGCAAGTTGGTCTACCCAACTGATAGCAAAAAGTACTTAGACAACTCATGTAAGATCAAGGCCTTTCTGGGCAATATGCTTCATTAATGGACATCCCATTATCTCAACCCTGTCTTTGAATCATGCATTTCATGAACATGTTCTCTGTTTGAATATCCCATTTTTGGCACATCCACACATTGTAGTGTTACCCAAGCACTAAAGTGATGTCTATGGAAATCCAACATCAACACAGGAGAATTCTTATGCTTCCATGTCATATGAAAAAAGTAGGTTATAACATGGTACAAACAGAATAATCACAGCTATATAGAAACAGAGGAGCTTATGAAATAACCGTATGGAAAACCAGTGAAATATGAAGCACAGGACTGACGCAGTGGCTCATTCCTGTAATCTCAGCACTTTGGGAAGCCGAGGTGAGTGGATTCCCTGAGGTCAGGAGTTTGAGACCAGCCTGGCCACCATGGAGAAACCCCATTTCTACTAAAAATAAAAAAATTAGCTGGGCATGGTGGCACGCACCTCACAGCTACACAGAAGGCCTGAGAACTGGTTGAACCCAGGAGGCAGTGAGACAAGATTGCTCTACTGCACTCCAGCCTAGGTGACAGAGCAAGACTCTGTCTGAAAAGAAAAAAAGAAAGAAAAAGAAAAAAGTGTGAAGCATAGCTATTTTGAAATGCTGAAAAAAAATTCTTTTTATTTTAACCCTAAAAATAAATTTCCCCAAATAAATTAATTTACCCTAAAAATAAATTTCCCCACATTGTCTAGTAAGTACATACTGCTGATGTAATTGACAACACACACATCAAGCAAGATTGATGTATGTGATATACATCATCTCTATATCCATAAAGGTGGGCAGATTTGACAGAACAATTTTTTTAAGAAATGTACTCTTGCTCTGTTGCCCAGGCTGGGTTGCAGTGATGAGATCATGGCTCACTGCAGCCTGGACCTCCTGGCCCCAAGTGATCCTCCCACTTTGGCCTTCCAAAGTGCTGGGATTACAGGCATGAGTCACCATACTCAGCTGGAAAACATAATTTTGAGTGACAGAAGTGGGTTGTAAATAACACTTGCTTACCAATGCTTTCCTTTATCTCAGGATCACGGATCACCTGTCTTAAATCACTCTCTACCCCATTCCACCCCTACATCCTGTTGGTGACTTGTACTCAACAACTCTGCTTCTGTTAGCCCAGATCAGCATAGAAACTTTACTCTCTTGCCCAGAGGCTGGATGACCTGCTGTGATCCACCACCCTTAGTGTGGGGGTAGTTGGAGGTCACATCTGTATATATTTAGATGTGATGATTAGCAACCTCAATGATATATAGTCACTGGGTAGGTGCCAGCTCCATCTCCACCAATTGCCCAGAACAGAGGGCATCAGGCTAGAGTTAAAACTGCCACAAACATAATAGAAATGTGTCTTATGCACATTAATTTGATGGAATGTCCAGATACCATTTCCATCTTGGTATACATGGCTGTGAAAAATGCATCAAAATCGAATTCTCTCTTTTTCTTCGGGGCAACTGTTGGCCACACATTGACACCCTTTTACTACCTCTGCTCTTTTTTATCACCTTCATTCTATGCTCTTTCCCTTCTTCCCCTATCACGAGCTCTTCCTTCACCTGGTAAAGATATGTGGGAGATTAGACAGAAGTTTTAGATGTCCTAGGTTCAAGATTCAGGGTCACAGGCATATAGTGGCATTCTTTGGTTTCCCTGGAAACCTCAGCCAGTTTATGAGTTATCTCACCCATATCCCTGAACCTGATGTGTATTTCTAAATGCAAATGATCATTGATGCATTTTCACCCAACAAGTACCCACTAAGTGCCTACTGTGCACAAGACATTATACTGGGCCCCGGGAACACAGGATGAAAAAGGCACACAGCAAATGCAATAGTTGAATTTATCACAGTAATTATGGAATTGCAGACCAGCTTGTAATTGGGAACGTCTGTTGATTCCTATTACAGCCCTTGTGTGGGTGTGCAGGGGATGTGACTTAACTACACAGACTGAGAAATGGTCCCCATGTGATCTCTCTCAGTGCTCCACCACCACCCAAGAGAGGCAATGACTCACAAAAACAAATATGGGGAAAGGGATCCAACAAATTGTCCAGTTTACCAGCTCTACAATTTCCCAGTATAGCCAGTGGCTGTGAAAACAGCCATGCGAGTCAGAGCTGCCTTCAGGTCCTGGGTTGGCTCCTGTCCACCATGGAGACTCAGACAAATCTCATCTAGCACTTAAAAATAAATTTCTTTTCTTCTAAGCAACGGTTTGACAGTTTGGGAGCTTAATTGACAGTATGGCCATTTCTCACTACATATCAGGCCAAATGATTTTTCCAATTTTCTCTGCATGTCTTTATCACCCAACTAACAGATTAGAAAGAAAGTCAGATTTCTCAACTCATTTCCTGTTACCTGGCATTCTTAGAAGACCCCGCCATTTACCAGAAGTGAGAAAAAGGTTTCACACAATCGTGATCAGCCTGCCTCAAAGACTTTCCCTGTAGGAAATGCAATTGATCTCATCCTCTTTAATGTTGGGATTAGCGGATCCTGGCAATTTTCTATTGGTCTCACATGAGTCAAAGACTTTCATTTCATCTAGACACATGGTAAACTTCTCATATCCCCAAGTGGAAGAAGCAAAGATGCAAGCTACTATCTCCTAGCAGAAACCAAAAACATGCATTTGAACCTGTTAAGCTGTTGACAGTCTTCAATAGAAAAGTCAATTCTTTTAAAGATAGCAATTTGTTTTTATTTCTCTTCTTCATACAAATGTGACTCAGTACTTGGGGATCTACTTGTTTTCAGCTCCAAGGCTTTGGATTTTAACAATTCTAAACTCCTATTACTGATTCTGGAGCACAAGAGGCCTCATTTGATTGCTCTATTGAAACATAGAGGGTATCGTTATCATAGAGGAGGTGTCCCACTGAGGTTAAACTCTGCTTTGTGCCAGCCACTTTGCTTTCTTCCTCAGGCCAAGTTCTGCTCAAAGAACACCCTTCCAAATTAGAACATCCTCTGACAACTTTCCCACATCATCAGCTCCGTCCTCCTTGTAATTCATCACTCTCTAGCATTGCATTGGGTTTCCTTCTATTTCCCAAACTTTCAAGCTCCTCTCCTCCCCAGGGCCTTTGTATCTGCCATTGCATCTACTTGGAAGCCTTTCCCCAGATCTTCACATGTCTGGCTCCTTCTCATCCTGTATATATCACCTTAAACCTTACCTCTGTGAGCTAAAGTAACCCCACATACCCCAATTTACTCTCTTCTCACACCATTCTTTTTCTATTCATCACAAGGTTTATTACAACATGGGGTTGCCTGTTTTTTCACTGGCTGAATTGTTTTCTAATCATGTAGTCTTTTGCCTGCCCTGTTCATCCATGTGTCCCCTGTGCCCAGCAATGTGCCTAACATGTAAACTCTGCTTAATGCACATTCATTCATTTCTTTCTTACTAAAACAATTTTATTTAAAACAACATCTGTGTTATTTCACTGTAAAGAAATTCAGCAAAAATCATTAAAACATTCATGACCCCAAAACATGGGCTGTCTACTTGCCCTTCCTTAGTGGGCCCTACCTCTTCCTCATCCCCAGCGGAGGGGAGGCTAGGGGGCTGCTTATCAAAAAAAAAAAAAAAGCTTCATCTCAGGGAGCCACCATGGAGACACTGGAGAAAGAAAGTGTCTTTTAAGGAGGGGTACATTTATTTATTGCATGATGTATTCAGGATTTCAACTTCAAAGAGGCTGACATTTGTGCCCCCATTGATAAAATTTTCTCCAAACCAAAATAGGCCTTCATAATACATTTAGCAATTATATATTACATCTTTATGTAAAAAGAAGGGGGAGCTGGCACAACTTACGTGATGGCAAGTGAGAGAAGTGAAGCGAAAGAGAAAGAGCCCCTTATTAAACCATCAGGTGTTGTGAGATCCTGATCTCAAGTACTGAGATCCGGGGACTTGCATCTTGTGTGATAATGGCTGAGACTAGAGTTTAAAATGAGCATGTAAAAATATCTCTCCCTAGTCATGAAACAAATATTGGTGTGTCATGCTGTGTCCTTGTAACTGAGGGTACAAATATTAATAAATCACATTCCCTATATGTAGGTGGCTCAGAAGACAGGGAGAAGACAGGCAAACTATAGACTGTAAAAACAGGTGATGAGGGTAGAGAGACAGGGATAGACACAGGTACTGTGGAAGTAGGAAGAGCTAACTCAGCTTGGGGACGCAGGAGCTACACTTCAAGGATGAGTTCGAATCAGGCCAAAGAAATAGATCAGAAAATACTGAGAAAAAAATAAAGCTTCCATCCAAGAGCTGGCCTTTTTCTTCTGTGACTCTCCCATGAGGTAGTGCTTTTGCTTATGTTTGCATTAGGAAACGCCAGGATCAGGGCCTTGGAGTAGGCCATGGAGGTTTCTGTGTCCCCAAAGGGTTTGTAGATTAAGGAAACCTCATCATGGACAATGTCAGCTCTTTCTTCAATCATAACAAAAGGAGAAATGACACAGATGCAGTGCCTGCTTGCTGCTGATGAGCTGAGAAACTGCCAGAAGTTCCATCTGCACCTGGATTCTATCAGAAAGTAACATGCAAGGTGTGTGTTCACTCCCAAATGGAGAGACGGTTTTAACATTTTCAAGAAGCATGGGTCTGGAATCCATAAAAGAGATGGGAAGAAGAATGTGCTGGGGAAAGGGAAGGGACAGCAAGAAAAGTGGAAACGAAATAATTATTTTTAAAAAGACTAAAGGAAGCTGGGCACAGTGGCTCACATCTGTAATCCCAGTGACTCAGGAGGCCAAGGCATGAGGATCACTTAAGGCCAGGAGTTTGAGACCAGCCTGAGTAACATAGCAAGACCCCTGTCTCTCAAAAAATTAATAAAAAATGAGCCAGACATGGTGGCGCAGGCCTGTAGTCTCAGCTACTCAGGAGGCTGAGGTGGGAGGATCATTTGAGCCTAGGAATTCAAGGATGCAGTGAGCTGTGATCACACCACTGCACTCCAGCCTGGGCAACAGAGTGAGACCCTGTCATTATATATAAGAATATATAATTTTGTATATATTTTTAACATATAAAAATATATAATGTTGTATATATTTTATGTATTAAAATGTTTTATATATTGCAATATGTCAAAATATATAATACCTTATATATTTTTATTTTCATTTATTTATTTATTTTTGAGTCAGAGTCTCGCTCTGTCACCTAGGCTGATGTATAGTGGCTCTATCTTGACTTAACTGCAACCTCTGCCTCCCAGATTCAAGTGATTCTCATGCTTCAGCCTCCTGAGTAGCTAGGATCACAGGCATCTGCCAGCATACCTGGCTAATTTTTGTATTTTTGGCAAAGACAAGGTTTTGCCATGTTGCTTAGGCTGGTCTTCAACTCCTGACCTCAAGTGACCCACCACCTCGGCCAACCAAAGTGCTGAGATTATAGGCATGAGTCACTGTGTCCAACCATATATATTTTCAATATATAAAAAATATAATGTTTTATGTTTTTAATGTATAAAAATATATTATTTTATATATTTTAATGTGTAAAAATGTTTTATATATTGTAATGCATAAAAATATAATGTGTTATATATTTTAATGCATAAAAACACGACCTTTTGTATTTTTTAATATTTAAAAATATGTTTTATATATTTTAAATATATAAAATATACTTTTTTATATACATAAATATATAAAAATATGTTTTATATATTTTTAAATATTTAAATGTTTAAATATTTTTAATATTTAAAAATATAATGTTTTGTATATTTTAAATATATAAAATATACTTTTTTATATACATAAATATATAAAAATATGTTTTATCTATTTTTAAATATTAAAAATACATTTTGAATATGTTTATTCAAAAATAAATGAATGAATAAATTAAACTAAAGACTGAAGGGAGGATTGATTCAACCTAAGGGTTAAAAACATGACTGTGGAGTCAGCTGGACCACTGTTTGAGTCCTACCTCTTTCATTTCCTAGCTAGATGGCTTGGAACATGTTTGATAATCTTCCCACAACTCAGTTTTATCATATTTACAATAGGCAAAACTACCCACCTTATATTGCTGTTGTAATTAAGTGAATGCAAATTTGGCACATCTCCAGGAATGTATCTAAGTCTTTTTAAAATTGATTATTGTACTATGCCTACTATAATGGAGTGTGTTTTCTATGACATTTTGTGATTCAAGTATAGATATTGTTACAATCAATGATTCAGGCTCCCTTAAAGGATTGGGCACATTCAGGTGACAGCATCCCTGCCACTCACTTGATTTTGACGAACTTCCGACAGGGCACGGTGTTCCTCACACATGTCTCAGTCAGCGGGTCTATGTCTTCCACGATGACGAATGGGGCCTCCTCAAGGGTGACGATGCTGAGATGGTTGTCATCCGGCTCACAGTCGGAGAAGGACTTGTACCTGGGCCACACGGCGTGCCTCAGGCTCAGCGTCTGGTTCTCCCACTTGCCCACCTGTAGCACAAACACAAAGACACAGCTGTGCTTTCTTCTGCCGCTGATTTCTGGAGAGGCAAATCCTTTCCTTGCCGGAGCCATCCATCCATCTCAAGGGCCTTTCTGCCACATACCTCAACATATGAATCTACTTCTGTGCAAAGACAAATGGGTATAAAGAGAAAACAGAATGTGGGGTAGTTCTCCAACCCAGCCCCTCTCATCCGCAGAGGAATCAAATATGCATCTCTGGAGGCAGTGCCCAGGCACTGATACCCTTAGAGCTCCCCAGGTGGTTCTAACGTTCTGCCAGAGTTCAGAAACACGGATGGCATGGAAACGTCATAGACTTTCAGAATCAGAGAGGTCTGGGTTTGAATCTCCAACTGTACCCCTTACTAGCTGCACAACTCTATGCAAGCCCTTAATCCTAAAATCTTCTGTTTTCTCATCTGTATAAAGAACACAATTCCCCCTACTTCATAAGGAGGCCATGGGAATTCAATAAGACAGTGCAGGAAAAGCAAAAGCACAGTGCTTGGCACATCATAGGGACTCCATATTGTTTTTAAGTATAAAGAAGAGAAAGTAAAAAGAAGAAAAAAAGGTGCTAAGATGAAGAAAAAGAGAAAAGGGGAGAAGAAGATGAAGCTGGAGAATGCAAAGAAGAGGACTGGGGAGTAAGACAACACGAGAGACAGATGGAGCAGATGGGGAAATGAAAAGCATAGTTTTGACCCCAGATACGGCTCTATTTAAGTTGCAAATGAAGGTGAACTTTCATTAATCCTGCACAGAGTGGAGACTGTTACTGCTTAGCATGCATCAAGACCTGTCAAAATAGAATCGATTGTATTCCCTCAGAGCAGCAGTTGGTATCTTAGTGAAATCAAATTGAAGGCTGTATATTTTGAACCTTAATTTTAGTTGACAGCTTATTGGCACTATTCACATACATGCTAGGAGGAAGCTGCCCCCGCGCCGCTACCTCTCCTTTCTCCTCCTGCTCCCACACGCAATTGCTTGACACCACAGGTCAGCTCTTTATTTGTAATACCAACCGCGAGGAAAACACCTCGTCTGAAAAGCTAAGGGCCAAATCCAGGCTTGTCTGTGTTGACATGACCCACTCACCTCTCCTCCTGTAACGTTAAGTGTCACCAGAAATGAATCCCAGGCCCTTAAAGAGAATTCAAACATGCCGGACACCAAGAGAGGTGACAGGGTGGGAGGAGAGAAGAAAATCAGTGCTCTCTAAGATTACCTCATCAGATGGGCTGGAAAATTTTTGCTGGCTGTAAAGAAACATTTCCTGTGGCTAATTACAAAATTGTCCAGCATTGCTGATACATTTCTTTTTAAGATAGGGAGGCGAGTAGAGCAATTTGGTCAAACACACACACACACATGTTCATTTATTCATGCTGTGATATGTAACAGGCTGGGGAGAGTGTTGAGTCCATCAAATTTTTCATTCATTTGACATAAATTTATTGAAGACCTACTATGTCCCAGTGCCAGCCTGGGAATAATGACGGCTAAAACAGAATGACTCTTGCCTTGTTGTAACTGTCAGTCAGCTGTACCAGATAGAACAAACCAAAAATACTAAAACATGCAAATAGGTAAAGAAATATACAAGGTTTTCCTTTTGGAACATGTTATACCAATCCCTTTTCTTTCCATTTGTCTTGGATGACTCAAACACAATCTTCAAGAGAGGTTGGGTAGTTCAGCGGGTAAGAGAATGGCTTTTGAAGTCAAACAGAACTAGGTGTTAATCCTGGCTTCACCCACTATCTGAGCAGCTTTGGGAAAGTCATTCAACCTCTCTGAGCTTTACTTTCTCCATTTTTGCAGTGAAGAGAGCAACAGGGTATTACCGTAAGGACTTCAGTGAGGTTTGAATGAGCCAAAAAGTACCAAAAATATAGAGTGCAGGACCTGGCATGGCATGTAACAAACATGGTGGCTGCTATTATTTTACTATTGCTGTTGTTAGCATTTAAGACATAGCTGAACTATCACCTTATCCGTAAAATCATTCCTGCCTTTCTTATGTGGGAAACTTTCCACCTATCTCCACCATAGCATTTTGATATTATCATTATAATGACATAACTTTTGAGCACTTCCGTATAGTCAGAAAATATGCTAATATCACCACCATAGCATTTTGATGTTATAATTTTAATGACATAACTTTTGAGCACTTCTGTATAGTCAGGAAATGTACCAATATCACCACTTAGTTTAATTTCCACAGATTCTTCATGGTAAGCATTATTATTCCAACTTCTTAGTTCAGGGAACTGAAACACAGAGAGGTTATGTGACTTGCCCAAACTCACACAGCAAATAAGTGGTGGAACCAGAGTTATATCATGGGGCTTTCTGAACCTGAAGGTGCTTTCTCACTATGTACACAGTGCTTTTGTGAATTGAGCTGCAGGAACCATGTTAGAGCTCCAAGACTCTTTCTTCCTTGCAGACATGTTTCTTAAAGTCCCAAGATAACGTAAATTAGGCAAAGACTAGCAGAATCTTTGATGATGTCATTGACCGTGTAACAACCCCCACACCATGGGAGTCAGGCAAAAGTTTCAGTCCAATGCTGACTCATGGAAAGAAAGTTGCAAAGGTTTATGAGTGCCCAGAGAGCAGAAACTTCCTAAATCTTCTCCAAGTTCTACTCCCCCTTCCTGACACATCCAAGTAGAGTATCCATGGGTCAGCCAAAAAGGATGAAGGTGAGTGGTGGGTGGAAAGAACTTGATCAAGAGCTGAAGCTGCTGTGTCAATGTTGCCCTAGATCCTGAGAGCTTTTTTCTTCTCTGATCTGATAGGCCCTTTGGCACCCCATTGCAAACACCAAAAATCTCAACTTCTAAATTATAGATACCAGATAAAGGAGAGCAGACATTCTTCACTTTCCCTTCCTATATTCCTATTTACAAGGGACTGTAGCAGAGTCCAATGTTTGTAGACAGGTTTAGCAGAGTCATTCATTCCATAAATATGTGTTGAGTGGTTACTAGGTTCCAAGCACTATGCTAGACACTGAGAATACCGTATAAGTGATAAAATGTTTGCTTGCATGAAATTTTTGTGCTAATTGGGAAGACACATGAGTCAAATAATTATACAAAAACATATGTTCATACAAACTGTGGGAAAGAAATGAAACATGGGTCTAAGAGAGCATATAGGGGAAAAGATATCAGAGACATCTTCCCTGAAGAGGTTACACTTTTAAGCTGAAATTGAAAATTCAGGATAAGTTGGACTGTAGCAGTTGTGGGAAGAAATTGTTGAGGAGCAGAGAAAGAAAGAATACTCCAGATAGGTGGAGACCAGAAGATGCAAGGCCTTGCAGGCTCTATTAAGAAGTTGGGATTTACCTTAAGGGTTTGCTATAGACTGAAGGTTTGTATCCCTCCAAAATTCATAGGTTGAAATCCTAGCCCCTAATGTGCTGGTGTTAGGAGGAGGTGCCTTTTGGAGATAATTAGGTCATGAAGGTGGAACCTGCATGAATGGGATTAGGGCTTTTATGAGAGGCCCCAGACAGACCCATTGCCTTTTCCACCATGTGAGTATGCAACAAAAAGACTGCTGTCTATGAACCAGGAAGCAGCTCTCACCAGACACTAAATCTTCTGGCACCTTGATTTGGACTTCCCAGTCTACAGAAGCATGAAAAACAAGTTCCTGTGGTTTATAAGCCACCCAGTCTATGGTATTCTGTTATAGCAACCCAAATGGACTAACAATCAATCTTGTCAAATGGTCAGAATGGAAAAAGATTATAGAAGTCACTATAGATATATGTCCATATACAACTTCCCTGAAGATAGAATCATCTTTGCCTATTCAATCTGATTTTTTTTATTATGGAAATATTTGAATGTATATAAGAGTAGAATCATATACTGAACCTCCATATTCCCAACATCCAGCTTCAATAATTAGTACTCAGGACCAGTCTTGTTTCATTTATACTCCCACTCACTCCTCTTATATTACAGAAAAATGCCCACATAATTTATTCACAAATCCTTAATTTGATTTAAATATCTAAACTTCATTTTCTTAAGAATATTATACCTCAATAATCTAAAGTAATCTATGTGTTTATATATATGTTTTACCTATGAGTCTATGACTTCCAGCAGGAATTTTATATGCATGATGATTGGTTTCTATGTTCACAGCATCTAACTCAGGGCATGCCACACGGAGGGATGTAATGGGTAGTTTTTGGTGGAGTGAATAAACATACAGCCTGTATTTTTTAAATGTGCATGAGTCAGAAAACGTTAGTAGAATGATTAATGTGTCCATATGTGCCTCAGCTTTGGAATCTTGTACCCTAGGCAAAATATGGAAGCATCAAGGGCCTGTATTCTCTCTCTTGTTCTTACTGCAACTTCAGCCCCAAAGACTCAGAGCCATTGAGGGTGGCTGCCTGAATAGCCTCTGGGTATTAAATTTCCCCCAGAGAAAGCAAATACCATCATGCTGATGCCATTTAAAAAGGGACTCCAGCCACTCTGATGTATTCAGGGGGAAAGTAAGATCCAATGGGTTAAATCCAGAAGACCTCAGTTTCTGTTGTCATGTTGCCTGTGCTTGCCTCAATTTTCACAGTGGCATGGAGTATGTATGCTCTCAGTGTCTTTCTTTAGAGGTTGTATCCAAAATGGATGAACCCTGTGCACTCTGAAGATGGTAGCCCATAGTCTCTCTGCTCCCACCTTGGACCTGATGGTGACTCTTCTGCTATTCTCTAAACTGGACCTTTTTCCTGTTCCCAATCACCTCCATAAAAATGAACACCACGCTCAGCTTAGTCTGTAACTTTAGATCAGCAGTCCTGACCCATATAAGCTATTATCAAGAGTGAGTCAATACCAGGGTTACACCACATTTCCTCCAGCAGTCCTTCCAGGAATGAAGTTTCAATCCATTTCTTCCAGCAGTGATTTTAGGAATGAGGCTTCAATGCATCAGAACAA